CCCGGCCCCCGCCACCCCTTCCTGTGCACGGAGGGGGAAAAAAAAAGCGCGACTCAGCATTGTAAAGATCGTCCAGCGTGCACACAAGCCAAAACACGACAAGATGCGTTCGCCTTCAAACCTGGGGTCGTTGCGGGCCAATCCGGAGGAAAACGGAAATTTAAGGATGGAGCGGTCCTGCTCCGAAAAATCTCCTCCGTGCACGCGGCTGTTGTTGGATGGGTTTGCAAAAAAAAAATAAATAAATAAAAAAAGATTCTCCTCGTGACCACGTGACTATGGAGCACAACCTGCTCGACAACATGCATGCAAGTACACGACAGCACAAAATACTCGAGTGCATCAGAACGACGACGGCATCATAACAAACGTCAACAACTGCTTATTTCATGCTCACCAAGCCGCCATGTTGGATGTTTATGAAATTCGGCTCTGTACATCCCATCGCAGGTTGAATTCTTAATTTCTGAACACATTTTTTTCTTCATACATCCAAGTATTCAGGCAAAAAAAAAAAAAAAATCGAAACTTTGGGGGACAAAAAAAAAAAAACGAAAAAATTCAAGATCAGAGTGTCCCCCCGCCCGCCCCCCGACTGCCCAAAGTCAGCTGGGATGGGCTCCAGCACGCCCGCGACACTCCCGAGGAGAAGGAAGTTCAGAAAAAGAATGGATGGACAACCAATATCCCAATTCATTTTTCAAGTAACGAAACTATCATCTCATAAACAGCGGGTAAGCAGAGCTGCGCTCTTAACGAAGACTAGTATTTGTGTTAGCGGAGTTCAAATACTTGATTACTTGTTGGGCAAATTTGGAGGTTATTTGTATCTACTGATGGGTCCGCTTCATGCTGAGTGTTGAGAAACAAGTCGCCGCTCGCCTCTTTGCTACCTCCGAGCTCCGCCAACACCAAACTGGTACATTTCAAGCGGAGAGCCGCACAAGTGAATGTCAAGCGAGAGCTTCATTCATGTGATGACAAAACAACAAAGCGACACTTTATTCCCACCGGTGACGGCAGCACTTCATCATCAAGCCACCGATTGAAACACAATGACTGTGCAGATGTGTGCCATGTCATGAAACAAGCAAAAAATGGACACAGACATATGACAGTTCCTTATGCTTCCACTGGAGGTCAGCCTAACTTCAGAAATAGATTTAAACTGAAAATGTTTCATCGAATCTGCAGTCCTGCACCGCGAAGAATTTCGACAGAATTCCTGGAAGTACACACTTTGAAACAACAACAACAACAACAACAACAACAACAACAACCTCTAACCACCAATGTAGGTTTTGCATGACATGTCCGTTGGTGTGGAAAACAAGTGTTATTGTTCAAAGCCTGGCGGTGTTTAAAAGCAGAGCAAACACACACTCCATCCCCAGCTGGATCGCCATCCAGATGGGAGCCACGTTTTCCTGTCACTGTTTTTTTTTTTCAAACTAGAATAAGACTCCGTTGCCAATTTCCGTCGACAAGAGCAATTCTTTAGCTGGCAAAAAAAAAAAAAAAAAAAAAGAACCGAGTCATTGGACCATGTGCTGTTCATTTTAAAACCACTTCCGGTTCTGGAGATCTTGGTCGGACAAATACTTCACTAGTGCCCTCCTGTGCATTTTTCAGCCATCCGTACTTAACGTGAGTATTTCTTTTTTCCGATGACTTTTTTGACATTTACTTCCTGTCTGTACTTACTTTGTCAGCACAGGCTCGTGACTTTTTTCAACGTCAACAGATGACGACACAACGTGAAACAAACCACAACAGTCAACCGCAGTTCATATATTGATCGAGTGCCTCTGGCAGGCGAACCTAAATATTTATTCAACGCAATATAGCGCGATTTCTTCGAACACAATGAACGATGAATTTGTTTGGTGTCAAAAATGGCCCTTTTTTTTTTTTTTTTGCCAGTGCAGCCACGCTCCCTCCCTTCTGATGCTTTTTGTCTCTTCCGATCCCGTAACCGGCCATGAGGATAATCTCAGATTAAAATCAAATCCCTCTAGTATAGGCTACGAGGTTTCCGTAGAAATGAATATGTTTTCCCGAAGGTCAGTTTTGGAAATGGCCAATTACGTTTTGCATTGCATCGTAATGTAATGTTGTGTCTCACTGGGTTACAAAATGGCCTCCGTGCATCGTCAGCGTCCAGACTTTCTTCCCTACGGCTCTGAGTCGATGGCGTGGCTTCCTTTTCGTGTGGTTCTCAGCGAGCTGGTTTGATTAGCTGGCACCCCGAAGACGCCGGCAGCTGTTTCTCATGAAAATGTTTGGACCGAGCCGAAGGTTCAACACTGGCCCGCGCCAAACGCTCTCGCAGGCTCTGGGAACATTTGGCCGCTGAGCTTTTCTATTGTCGAGAACGATGGTATGGGCTGCTTTGAAATTCTCTTTCAAACTCATTTAATGCCGGCCCTTTTTCTCAAATTGGGAGAGCCGGGGCCGGCCATTTTTCACCATGTTGACTCATTTTTCAAGGCCTACAGAAAATGGGAGTTCTGTCGCTGCAAAGTATGCGACCGACCAAAAGTTTTCACCCTGAACTTTGTGTGTGCGCGTGTGTTTGTGTGCCTGCCTGCGTGCGTATGTGCGTGTTCGTCAAGGGGGACGATGGGACTTGATTCTCTTTTTTTGCTTAAGAAAAAACTCTGTTGTAGAGCTAGCTGCCGGTATTGATCCCTGTTCTTCCCCACGTCACCTCATGACGTATGATCACCGTGCCACACCCACTCACACCGTGCGTGACTAAGATCTGACTGTTCTTCCCCACGTCACCTCATGACGTATGATCATCGTGCCACACCCA